CTCACTATTCTTAGCTTTTACATATGGTAATTTTTTTTCGTATATGAATAGTTTGTATTTTAAATATAAACTAATCCATTTGAAATATTTATAATAGATGTTTGTATGAAAAATTTGTTGTCCCTTTTGATCTACAAACAAAGTTTGCCTTCATTAGTCCTCATGAGGTTGGTGCACATGCCTTAATTAAAAGCAACAAAATTTTAGAACAAGCAAAGGCATTAAGTGAAAATTTTAATGGAAGGGCTCGAAAGGGAATATTATTCATAATACCATACTATCAAGGGTAACGTACTTCTCACTTATCTTAATAATATTTTATTTTTAATTTAATAAATTAATTATTATTTTGTAATACTTGTTAATACTATTAGGGACTATTGGATGTTGATTGTCGCCGAACCATTTGACAACATTCAAAAAATATATTATCCCAATTCTCTTAGAGGGCAACCAGGGACTTGACAAATTTTATTACAGTTGATTAATACGTAAGTATATAAAGTATTTCACATATTTATTTATTTATTTAAATTTCATAGTAATGTTTTTTTACTGTTTTATTAGGGTAGTTGTGTTATACCACCACACTAACACAAAATAATCAATTCCAAGGTCCTTTATAAATTTTGAGATGGCTTACACTTGGAATATAAAGGTAATTAGAATCATTTATTAAATTGAAATATAATGTATTAATACATATTCATTGGTTTTTTAATTTGTAGCATCCAAGACAAATGAAAAATAGCTTAGATTGTGGCTTCTGCACTATAAGGTCCATGAAGGACATTATTATTCATAACGAGACCATAATTCTTGAGATGATATCAACAATATTCACTTTTCAATTGCATAAAAAATTAATGCATTAAAATTAATTTATGGTGAATCATTTACATATTGCAGTATTATGATGATTCTTATGTTGAAGAATTCGAGAATGCATACATAAATGAGATAATTAAAGAATGGTGTCAATATAATTTTTAAGTGTGGACCTCACACAAAAAAGATCAATAGAACTACTTAGAAGAAGTAGTTAAGATGTTTATATTTTCAATAGCTAGTTTACTTTGAAAATAATTTACTTTATAGACATTAAATTTATTTAATTGATATAGATTAGTATAAGAGATCATGTTTATTGATTAATTTTGCAATTGAATATAATAAATTTTATTGATATTCAAATCTGAAATGATTGCCTGCTGTTATTTTGATTTCTTTTTGTAAGGGGCTAGTATAAAAACAATTCTCGTATAAAAATCATATATTAAATGACGTTTATCTAAATAACCATTATTTATCTAATAATAAATGATAAGTAAATAATTTACCATCATTTATTGTGACTTAAAATGATGGGTAAAATCATTTACTGTGTCCCTAACAAGCCACCACACTTAAAAAATACTCTCTTTGTTCAAAAATGTAAAGTATTTTTAACTGAATCTCACCTTCCAATAAAGTAATTACCTACTTTCAAACTAACCCTATCTTTTCATATTTACCCCTATTAAATACCCCAATACATATATAAAGTCATTATCAATAGGGGCACTTTTGACAAAAAAAAGCAATAATTACACCTCAAAAAACTAAAAAATGCCTTACATTTTTAAATATATAACTCTTCAAAAAATGCCTTATATTTTTAAACGGATGGAGTATATTTTAAATGATGGTTATATAACCATCATTTATTAGGAGGACTTTAAATGTCAAGCATATAAACAACACATATTAATCATCATTTATGGGCTAAAATAATCATCATTTGTTCCTCTTTTTGTAATAATGGTTTCAAATTTAAGTATTATCTTTTGGAATAAATTAATCCTGCAATGTCAGCAAAAATAGACTTATTTAACATTATTAATATGTTTGTAGCTTACCTAAACACACAAAAATAACACAAAACTGATTGAATATTGCCCATTATTATTACACTACTAGAAAAATTGAATTTAGCGAGGGATGAATCCTCGCTAAATGCTATTTTTCATAGCTAAATTGCATTTTAGCTACGAATTTTGTCCCTTGCTAAATTCGTAGCTAAAAAAGGGCTCATTAAATTTAGCGAGAAATTGTATTTTTCCTCGCTAATTAGCGAAGGATTTAGCGAGGGATTGAATCCCTCTCTAAAATTAGCTAAAGACTGAATCCCTCGCTAATCCCTCGCTAAATATGCTTATATTTAAAAATAATTATGCCACATCACCAGCCATGTGTGATGTCAACTTGTGACATGTTATCAACACGCTTTGTCAACCACCATGTCACCTACTATCTCGTGCCCTATCACCCACTACATGTGCAACAACTTATGACACATCATTGTCCACCTTGCGCCATGTCACTTACTCCTTACCATATCATATATTCATCATGTTTATACCAAAGTCAAGGTTTGAACCCTTGACCTCATACCTTCTAAGCTTTATACTCTCCTTCTTTGCCAGTTGAACTGAAAGGCACCTTTAGGCATTATATGATAAATTAAATATATATATATATATATTATTTAACTACATAAATATATTAAATAATATATTATAAAAATATACACATATACATATTAAATTTTATTTTCAATTATTAATATGATAAAAATATTTATATTTTATTTAAATTATTATTTATATTATATTTTTAATAAAACATTATTTTATTAATGAAAATCAACTTAAAATAAAGAAAATATTAAATAATTTTATTATAAATATTTTAGTTAATTTTTTAAATTTAATTATTATTTTTAAATGAAAATAATTAAATGTATAATTAAAAGTCATTGTCAAAAGGTAATTTTTTTTTAGTAATTAGCTAGGGATAGAATCTCTCGCTAAATCCCTTACTAATTATTTTATTTTAGAGAGGGATTGACAGTCCCTAACTAAATCCCTCGCTAATTCTCTTATTTTAGAGAGGGATTGACAGTCCCTCGCTATTTTCCTCGCTAATTCTCTTATTTTAGAGAAGGATTAACAATATCTCACTAATTTCCTCGCTAATTTTAAGTCAAGCTACGAAATTAATATCCCTCACTAATTTCCTCGCTAACTTGGTATTTTAGAGAGGAATAGATAATCCCTCGCTAAATTTCCTCGCTAATTTGTATTTTTCTAGCAGTGTTACTTGAAATGATACCTTCAAAGTTGTTGTGATCAAGCTCTAGTTGTTGAAGTTTTGTTAAGTTTTCAATGCTTCTTGGTATAGGGCTAGACAACTTATTAACACCTAAGTATATAATTTTCAAATTTGTAAGAGCATTGATTGTCTTGGGAATATCACCTGCAATATGGTAATAAGAAAACCATATTTTTGTTAGAGTCCATGGATAATAAATAGATCATAATAAAAGAAAAATAAGCAACAAAGAAGATAAAGCTCTTGAACCTAATAGGAAAAAAAGAAAAAAAGGAAATCGATGTATCTTGATTTGTATCCACTAATTTGAATTCTGTTCAGTGTGACCAATCAGATGCTCATATGCGAAAATATATTAAGAAAGTAAGATATTTTTTAGGGCAAGGTTCCCTTGAGACCCATCTCACCAAGATTCAAGGCTATTACTCTCTCATGGTGAGCATCACACATGACCCTAACCCAATTGCAAATGGAACAAAAGTTGGACCAATTAGCCAAGTGATTATAAGGGTCCTTGAAAGAAAACTTGAAAGCAAGTATTGCCGGCCAGTTTATCATTCACAGTGAAATTGGTGAGGAAAAAAGTGAAATGAAAACAAAGCAGGGAGAACAAGAGGAAGCGGAAATGAAAACAAAGATTTGCCTTGCAGGATAGGTTTTTTTTTTTTGGCCAAAAACAGAGTCAATTTTATTTATCTTGCAGGATAGGTTCAAGGCTTCTTAGATTGATGAATGGTTGGAGGAGGAGGTTGTCCTATATATATAGATATATATGCTTAGAAATTCATAAACACAACTTTTAAATAGGACGGATGATTAATGGTACGATTGAAACTTCTAATGTCAGGTGACATCCGTTGTCCACTTTTATATTAATCAGTAGGTGTGATAGTCATAATCTTAGGGAAAAATGAGACATTAATTGGCATTTTCTTCAATTTGTTGGGAAATACAACCATTTCATATTGGAGAGAAAAAAAATAAATTTGATAGCGAGATATTAGTGGAAGGAAATTTTTTTTATACATAATATATATATATATATATATATAGATATATAACTATATAGAACATAGATATATATATATAGATAGATAAACAAGGATATAACTACAAGAAGTCCATAGAACATAGCCCAAAAAATTTTCCAAGCTTAAAAAGGATATCATAAAATTGATTCAATTTGTCCACCTTAAATAAAAAAGTATTTAAGTATCCAAAATATATAATTCAAAAAATAAAAGTTAGATTTATCAGATAAAATAAAAATATTTAAGTATATATTGTAGCCTTGTGTGAGCTTGACAATGTATATTAATTATATTGGTGTATTTATTAACTTGTTGGAGTACAATCATAACTCATAAGTCATAAGTATTGGTGGTTACAAATTGCTTCCAATACTAAGCCAACATGTAAGAAATAGAAATATCCAAGGAATTAAATGAAAATCTTTATCAAATCAGACGTGGTAGTACAAATTAATCATCCTGCGATGGCTTAGATGGCGAGAATAGAATGAAGTGTTTGCACTGCTTAATACATACACACATGGATTAGAATTTGAAATAATAATAATATTATTAATATTAATACCACCACCACCACCACCATAACTCTTACATCATTAGTCTCACATGATGATTTTTTGCATTATTATTTTAAAAATTTAAACTTACTATATTAACATTTAAGAATGTTTGTTTAATATTTAAAATTTTAATATTGATAAAAAAAAGCTTCCGTATAATGAACTTACTCTAGGTGGTTTTAGGTACATGAAATCACTTTTTCATAGAAATACATGAAAAATGATTTTATAAAATTGTATTAACACATATTAGAAATATCATAATCAAAATTTATTAGATGAATAAAAACTTAACCTCCTTGAAGATTCAATCTTAGAATGCTCTAAGCAGATTATTACTACAATTGTCCCTGTACACTAGTAAGTGTACACCATCACATGTATTTAAAATAGGAGGAGATCAAAAGCTTTATTTAGGGAATTAAGAATACAACTTAATCTGGAAAAACTCAATGGTTCATGTGGGAACTACTCAAATCCTTACAAAGAATTCAAATAAGAAAAATGTATGTGCATGTTTGGTTGATTTGTACCAATGAGTGGCCTGCAACAACATAGCTTGCAAATCATCATTTAAAAATATTAGAATAATTTATCAACCTGAATACAACTAATTAGTATTCTTGTCGTGAGCTTGAAAATATAGGTATATTTATGAACTTGTTCAATGAGTTACAAAGACCACATGTTATTGTCCCGCACTTTCTGTATACCAAGGACTCATGAGTTGACTTAATTTTAAAATACAACACTCATTAATTATAAAAATCAAATTTATTATATGAATTCATGGTAAAAAAAATGTCTTATAAGAATTGTTAGACAATAATGAGTGGCACAATAAAAAAAAAATCTATACCCTTGTGTATTTTTTTTTTTTCCACAGTATACGTGCAGGAGTTGTCAAGATTAGGAAAATTTTGTTGAAAACGTGAATTGTCACCACTCATGACTTAATCATTGGCCATATTAATTGGTTGTGTAAAAAACACACATGATCCATAAAACCCCAATATTATCAATGGAATAATTAAAATAAATATTCAAAAATTGTTCTTATTCCATTGGGCTAAAGTATAAATCTGCCTTGGACATTTTCAAAGATGTGCATGTCACACCTAATATTAAAAATATGACTGGCATGAAATATGAGGAGAATTTATATTCCATAAGCCTTAATGACTAAAAAATATGCTAAAATATTGAGATATATATATATATATATTATTATATATATAATAATGTTTGTAAAGTTTTAAATATTTTGTAGAAATTTTAACAAAGTCTCCTCTATAATCCGGACCTTTTAAAATTTTCACAACACAACAAAACCTACCAACTAGACTAGTAAGGAGACTAGTTCCATCCCAACAATTTACATAATAATGGAATAAGACTAGGATTTAACTATGATTTACGTGGAGCATTAAGTTATAACTACAAAATATAATAATACTTAGTTTTACCAAATAATAGTTGCAATATGCTTCCTCTTTTTCCAATAAAAGTAAACAAAAGGCCTTGAACAATCCACTGGAGGTGCAGGGTCAGTTATAATATCTAAAATCAAAGAAATTTCTGGTGAGTAACGTTTCAATTAAAATTATACATAAAAAATTTATGAAGATAGAACTAATAGATTTAGTCTAAAACAATATCATCAAATACTAAAGCATATCCTTGAACTCAAAATAAAGAAGAATTCTTTTTCAATAATACAATTCTGAAATTAAACAATACTAATAAAATGATATACATTTATTAAGATTTAAATTTGTATAGCTCATAGAATGTAATCGTCTCAATTACTAGTACAATTAGGTAGAATCCTTTCAAAGAACTAGTACAAAAATAATAAATTTAAATTTAAATTTAGGAGGGATTTATCAAAATGAATAACAAGTGTAGACATATAGTCCACGAGGGTAAATAACCAATCAAGTATAAACATACAATCTACGAGGTTAAGTAACCAATCAAGCACAGCTGGAAGCCATAAAACAAGCATGGCAAAAGTCATGAATCAAACATCGGTATGAAGCCCACGAAAACAAACGTGAGTAAAGTGCTTACAAATACCATCCCTTCAATCCACATGCGTTGGCCTTCGCATGGGGCTAGCACATTTAATAAACACCCTACTAGTTAGGTGAACCATGTCATGCTAAGGGCTAACAGAATTACCATTAGCATTTAGTGTTTAAAACTCAGTCTCCTTTAGTAAAATTAAGCATGCATGAACCAAGAAAACAATTTTAAACTTTTTTTCTCAACTTTTAAACACTGCTTATAAACTATTAGCAAAATCAACACATTTTCATTAATAAAACAATTATTAGAAAAATAAGATAAATAAAAATATTGGTACAATTTATAAAGGATTAATAGTAAAATTTAAATAAGGAGATTTTATAAATACTTTTAAATAAGGAGATTTTATAAACACTTTACTAAAAATTTATTCAAAATGCTACTTACTCACTTGAGTTTTGAGAAATTTTATAATCAACTTCATCAATTCCTTGCTTACTTCAATGGTGCCTCAAATTAATCTAACATGTATACCAATATATTTTACATCACTACTATTTCACTTCTTAATATAAGCAAGTAAAATTAATATTCAAACTCCTCAATTATTCATTAAATTTCTCAATAACTCCTTAAGTTCTCACTAAACTCTTTAACAACTTCTACCAAATAATCAATAACACTAGACAATATTTATTCACAGCCACTAACATAATTCTTATTCCAAGCTTAACAGAATTTTAATTATTATATAGTTTTAATTATTATATAGTCTAATGATTTCTCTTTAGGTGCTATACAGTTTCAATGAGTAATTTAACTTTACTACTTGCATGTAGAAACATATACTCCCCTAAGTAATATTTATAATTCTTCTAAAATCTTATAAAAAAAAATTTAACGATCTTATGTCTACAAATAAATCTTTTACGCATATTTTTCAGCTCTAAGAGAATATTTATCATCAATTAAACTATTAGGCAAATACCCAAATAAAGTCTAACAATTCTCAACATTTAATTTTTTTCATTGATTCTTAACTTGGCATTAGTAAAATAGAACACCTAAATTTCTCATTCAAGCTCTTCCACAAGCATGTTGGAGGCACTCTCCATTGGTTAAGTCACGAGACCATAGCTATAACCCAATATCTCCTTTACAAACCATAATAACACCAGCAAAAAGAGCAACGAAAATCGGCCAGTCAAAGAAAAAAAAAAATTTGAATCAAACTTTCATACACACACGCATGCACCGCCAGTGGTTGAAGAGAAAGAGAGCTTACATGTTGAGCACGAGTACACGCACGGATGTCAACCTGGAACAGAGACAGCCATAAGGAATGACAAGCTAATGAATTCCTGCAACTCCATGCTATCTCAGTGACAGAAACACACGATTCTAACTGACACACACACCTCACGGACAGCATAAGGAAAGAAAAGAGCTTTGATCGCTCTTCCAGCCACCGCACAGCGAAACAAAACAGAACAGAGACTCAGCTCAACTCCAGACAGAAAACGGACGAACAGTGGAAACGCACCAGTGAATTAAGAGGCATGTCGACGGTGAGTAATAGAACAAGTCGGAGGTGATGAGGAAGGGTTTAACGGTGATAAGAAGAGGGAGCTCAAAGTCGGTGAAGAAGCAAATGCGACTGCTCTGTTTTTCTTTCTTCCACGCGAAGATATATTATCAGATCAAGTGAGTTTTGGGAAAATTGGAAGAATAGCCCAAAAAATACAAGAAAGACCCAAAAAATTACAAAACGGACCCAAAATTTTTCCTTAATTTAATATAAAATAAAAAAATAAAATCTAATTTAAAAAAAAACTTATTTAAATAATATATTTTTTGAGGGAAACTTTTTTTGTTTAAATTAAATTTAGGTCATTGGTATCCTTATATTTTTTAAAGATGAAATATCGGCCCCATGTTTTTTAAAAATGAACAATTTTACCCTGTCGTTACCAAAGGCCCACCTTGACCGTTATCTATCTCAATTTGACCATGAAAGTGTATGCTGGCGTGCCATGTGTTTGATCTCCTTCCACGTATTCTTTTTTTTCAGCCAATTCTTGCACCTCTGAACACGCGTCGCTTCTTCTTCTTCTTCTCTACTCTACCTCATGCCCAGGCTTCCGAGCAAGCTAGAGGTTGTGGACGAGCAAGAAGGAGGGGACTGAGGTTGAAGACGGATCGTTACTAGAGCTCGAGCATTGTACACAGTGAAGGTGACAGCAACTCACTCATGGTGACCATCGATTTACCACTTCGGTCACTGTGATGTGGAGTCACTTTTTTAGACGAGTTTTCGAGATCTGAAATATTGAGGTGAGTACAAGGAAGCAGATCGAAGAGAAGAAGGAGGAGCTCTAACAGCTTGCTGGTAATTGATACTGTAACCTCATCGCTCTGCATAGCTTTGTGATTCCATCGCTCCACAACTCCCAGATTTCTTCATGTCACCGTTAACTCCAATTGCTGGTGTGCAAGTTAATTGATGCTTTTGGCTTTTCTTCACATCTGGGTGCATGTCTCAAGTGTTTCAGATCTAAGGGAGTATGGCTTTACAATTGGGTAGGAGGAAGGAAGTTGCTGAGTGATGATAATAGAGTTGGGGAAGATATCTTGATCTTTTTGCTACCTCGGCGCTAATTTGTTTTTTTCTATGCTAAATTAGCGATAAGGAAAGGAAGCTGCTTCGATTATTGTTTGATTTTCTTTTGGTGATTGTAGTCTTCGTGGCCCAAATTATCCATGAGGAAATGGCCTCATACAAAGAGCTTCACTGCTAAATCTCATTTAGGCTTTGATGAATTGGGTAAAGTAAAATTAATGGGTCCTTTTCCTCCTTGATTTTGATTCGTGTTATCTAGCTTGCATGTCATGTGCAAGGAAATTAATGACATGGTCTGGGAAATTATTGAACTCGTGGCTTGTTAGTGTGATTTCCAGGCATCATTTGATTATGAGACATTGATTTTTTGAGTTTCAGACCAGATCTGTTTGATGATTTCTTCAGGAAAGAGGGAGGGAGGAGGAAGAAAGTGAAAGGTGGCGGGCGAAGGGTGTGGGACCTACTTAAGTAAAATTTTAATCAAGAGAAAAGGATTGCATGGATGCCAAACTGGCATGCCATGTAAGCACAAACGGTCAACTAACTGTCACGAAGGCAAAATTATTTGATTTTTAAAAATGTTAGGGTGACATTGCACTTTTAAAAATGTAAAGATATCAATTACATCTCTTCAAAAATCTCCAAGACAAAAATAACCATGATTTATAATTTATAATTTTTTAATAATATGATTTAACAATTACTTAGTAGTTGGGTAGAAGCATGTTTTTAGTTAAACTTTTGTAATTAAAACAAAATAGATAAGAGGTTATTTATCAGTGTATTTTAAAGATAAATTTAAATATAATAACAAATAAGACTTATAATATAGAGGCATCTACGTATAAATGCTCATCCAAGAAGTTTTTTATTGACTTGCATTGCTGTTACCATATTTCATGAACGATTAAGATTGTTATTTTTAATAGGAATGTACGAACAATTCATTAGATTCTAGCAAGGGATTCATTTTCTTTTTCTTGGCCAGGAAAAAATCATCCCCTTCGATAACAACTTAAAAAAAGAACATGGATGAGAATCATTTTAAAATCAATTTTGAGTATTTTTATAAACTTTTATTTTGCATAAATTACAAAATTGGATGTTAAAAATGATTTCATTACAAATTAATGTGCATACTGTTCAAATTCCTGAAAAATCCATAATATTACCACTTGAAAAATTATGGATATATAATTAATTTCCTCTTTAATTGCTACATCAATGAAACTTTGAAATGACATACCAGCATCTGATTCACATAATTTCAACATTTAAATAATATTATTTGACTTTAGAGTATTGAAAATACTATAAAATTGCATTCGGAGCAAACAAATCTCTCAATGAGAAATTATTTATTTATTTATTTTTGTTAATTCGTATGTTAAATTAATAAAATTATTTTTTTTCTCCTTTTCCAATGTCAATTCCAACCCATGACAAGTAAGAGAGTTGTTATCTCGAAAGAACCACGACACTCAAACATCGAAATGTTATGGACATTCCAATTTCAACAAACATATTGGCCCACTTCCTCTATTTATGCCAAGGACATGAGTTTATTTGACTTGAAAATGCAACACTCTTTAATTATAAAATTAAATTTATTCTAAGAATTGTATAGAGATTAATGTGTCTCATCAACTTTGATCAATAAAAATCTACAATCATTATGTAATGTTTTTCCACAATATAGGTAAATGAATTGTCTTAACTAAAAAATTTATTTATAAAATTAAATGAATTGTTATCATTCATGACTTTTTTTTTTTTTTTACCGCTTTGGCCATGTTAATGAGTTGTGAAGAAATACAATAAAATACTCATGACCTATCATTGTGACTAAAATAAATTTTCATAAATTATTTTTATTCCATTGACCTATCATTGTGCCATTTTCTTCACACAAAAGGCAGACCTCATAAATTATTCTACGACTCATTCCCATTAATTACCTCTTTAGTTTAATACCTGCCATCCCATGGTGATCCATTCCTTGTATATTACATATTATATTGATCAAATAAGTAGAATTGGATTTTAAATTAAAAAAATAGAAAATGCTAATGATAAGAAAGAGTCATAGATTAAGATGGCTTAAAAAACCATCTAATTTTTCTGAAATTATCATATGATTTTATTAAAATAGATTGATTGTATGCATAAGATTAAATATTTGATTTTTTTTAATATGAGGATTTTTTTAAGTTATAAAAAACTTCAATTAATAATATATATTGATTTTGTAAAGATACTTGGCCTCCTTAAATTCATAAGTTGGATCACGAATGGAGTATATGAATTGATATGAGTTTACTTGACATATGAATTGCACTCAAATATCGAAAATACATATTGCTATCCCACTTCCTTCACGCCAAGCACATGTGAGTTTAATTGACTTCGAAATGCATCACTCTTTGATTATAAAAATCAAATTTATTTGAAGAATTATAACAAGTGCAAAAGATGTTATCATGAAAGCAACTCGACACTCAATCATCCACATGTTATGGACCATCCTAATTTCAACAAACACATATTATTGTCCCATTTCTTTTATGCAAAAGGTATGTGAGTTTACTTGACTTGAAAACACAACACTCTTCGAATATAAAATTAAATTTATTCTAAGAATTGTTAAAAAAATAACGTGTTGCATAGACAGATTCTAACAAAAAAAAAGCTACATCATTGTGTAATCTTTTTTCACAATATAATTGGTCCCCACACTCCTCCTATTAATTCTCTTAAACTACATCTGTTAATTTTATTCCATTAATGTAACACTTTTCCCAAGTATTAACAAAAGTACACCAAAACCAAACAAATTAAATAGTTAAAGAGTTGATCTTAAAATTAATTTAAAAAACAAATCATTTAAAACACTAAACAATTCACACAATAACAAGCCACATATTTAAAACCTCTTAGAAAAGCCTAAAGAATTAATATGTAGCATATGAAAACAAACTAGGCAAACAAAGGCAATTAATGGCTACCATGAAAGCATCTTTAGATTAACTTTTGGAGTGCATAATTTCATTAGAGCTGTCAATTAGGGCCAGCCCGGCCCTAAAGGGCCGGCCCTTCAAGGGCCAGGGCCTAAATGGGCTGGCCCTAATAAGCCCGATTACATACCAGGGTTTCATTTTTTAAGGTCCGGCCCTAGCCCTCAGGGCTAAAGGGCCGGCCCTCAGGGCCTCGGCCCTATTTTTTTAAAATTATTTTTTCAATTAAAAATTATAAAATATATATTTATAATCATAAAAAAGTTATTATTTATAAAATTAAGTTTAAAAAAATAAATTTAAATCAATTTACACCACAACAATAAAGAAAACTAAAATATTTAAGTCTAATATCAAATAGCAATATCAAAGTGAATACCAATAAAAATTAATCTTAGCTAATATTATTAGCTAAATTTTAATAAATGAATGAGGGATGAATGAATGCATTTAATATGTTCATTTCTTTAAATTATGTATTTAATCTTTTATTTTTTTATATTATAATTTTTTTAAAAAAATTATAAACGGGCCTAAAAGGGCCGGCCCTTTTAGGCCCGATTTACTTTTTTAAAGGTAAAATAGAAGCCCGACCCTCAATTTTTTCGGGCCTAAAAGGGCCGAGCCCGTAATTGACGGCTTTAAATTTCATCATCTAACCTCTGACCGGATTGATTTCAGACCCACACGTCACTTTGAAAGAATACTACTAGTGTACCAAATTTTTAAAAGATAAAAAAAAAGGATTGAAATTTGTGCATGTTGCAACATCATTTGCTGTAGCTATCATGATAGCTATATTTTGCTGCCATACAGCACCTTCAAAATAACTTCAAGAGAGCACTATTTCTTTGTCTAACATCCAATCAAAGTAATTCTAAATCCCACATAAACCTTATAAAAAGTTTTACTTGTGATCCAATTTTAGGGAAATCCAACTATTAGATTGAAATTTGAACACCTGAATACAAAAGTATAGGTTTTTGGTAAAAAAATTATTTTCAAAATTG